GATGATGATGATGATGAATGATGAATGATGATGATGTATGATGATGATGATGATGATGATGATGTGATGATGATGATTGATGATGATGAGATGATGAGATGCTGATGATGATGATGATGCTGATGATGCTGTATGTGATGATGATGATGATGATGATGATGATGATGATGATGATGATGATGGTGATGTGATGATGATGATGATGATGATGATGATGCTGATGATGATGATGATGATGATGATGATGATGATGATGATGATGATGATGATGATGATGATGATTTTGAGGGGGAGGAGAAGGACGAGGAGAAGGACGAGGAGGAGGAGGAAGACGAAGAGGAGGAGGAGGAGGAAGAGGAGGAGGAGGAGTAGATGAAGGAGGAGGATGAGGAAGAAGAGGAGCAGGAAGTGCAGGAGGATAATAAAAGAGCGGACGACGACGACGAAGACGACGACGACGACGATTACGACGGCGACGACCACGACAACGACGACGACGACGACGACGACGACGACGACGACGACCACGACGCTGACGACGACGACGACGACGATGACGACGACGACGACGAAGACGACGATGGCCCCGCTGAGGAGGACTCGGACCTGCAGGTCGCCGACGCCTGCGCGCTCCTGTGGGCGTGCTGCCTCGCCGGCGCGGCGGGCGCGTGCCTCTCGGCGCACGCCCCCCTTCCCGCCTTCTTGCCTGGCGGCCGCCTGCTCGCCGCCGCCGCCGGTCGCCGCCGCCGCCGCCCATCATCGTCGTGCTTGTCGCTGTCGTGCTCGCCGCCATCGCATTCGTCATCGTCGTCGTCGTCGCCGCCGCTGGCGCCGCCGCCGTCGTCGTCGTCGCCGTCGTCGTCGCCGCCGCCGTCGTCGTCGTCGTCGTCGTCGTCGTCGTCGCCGCCGCCGCCGTCGTCGTCGTCGGCGTTGCCGCCGTCGTCCTCGTCGTCGTCGTCGTCGTCGTCGCCGTCACCGTCGTCGTCGCCGTCGTCGGCGTCGCCGCCGTCGTCGTCGCCGCCGTCGTCCTCGCTTTTGTGGTCGTCGTCGTCGTCGATTGTCGGTCGTGGTCGTCGATCGTCGCGGTCTTGTCTTTGCTCGTGGGGCGTCGCTGTCGTCGACCGTCGTTGTCTTCGTTTCGCTCGCCGCCGCCGCCGAACACGCAAAATACAGTACTTCCCCCGCCAGCCTTCCCGTGCTCTTCCTCCATCGTCCCGGATGACTCGCCGAGCGCGTCGTGGCCTCTGGGAGGGGTGGGGCAGCCCTCTCGCACCGAGCGCGCTCCACTACTCGCAGAGTGCGTAGTCGCAGACGTCCGAACAAGCAAAAACATGTGTTCGCCTCAAGATTTATATGTATGTACACATGTATGTATACATAAAATCATGCATACACCTACATCTATATATGTGTTTATCTATATATAATATATAATTATATATATACTATTATATAATATATATATATATAGGTTTAATACACCTATAGACATATATATTATCACAATATATATTCATATATATTATATATGCATCGCCAAATCCCTCACGGCGGATCCAGGCCAGTTGCGAGCAGCTGCGTTGCGAGTCGTGGGTCGCGCTTGTCTGCAGCGAAAGGGGAGGGGGGCGGGGGCGGGGGAGATGGGCGGGAGGCGCGGAGGAGGTGAGAGGCGGCCAGGAGGAGGAGGAGGAGGAGGAGGAGGAGGAGGAGGAGGAGGAGGAGGAGGAGGAGGAGGAGCGAGGAGGAGGAGGAGGAGGAGCGAGGAGGAGGAGCGAGGAGGAGGAGGAGGAGGAGGAGCGAGGAGCGAGGAGGAGGAGGAGAGGGAGGAGGAGGAGGAGGAGGAGGAGGAGGAGGAGGAGGGTTTCTTCGGCGGCGGCCGCTGATGTGGCCGTGGACCTCACGGCGGATGCAGAGGCTGCAGCAGCGGCGGTGGGCGGAACGAGGCCTATGTCCAATGACGAGTTGGATGCGATGTTTGTGGCGGTGCAGTCGGCGGATGTACCTATGTCTGGGGCGGATCGCCAGCATGTCATTGAAGAGCTGCAGGAGGCTGCGGCGAAGAAGGTCAAGGTGTCTGAGCAGTGTTCCTAACACAGAGTGGTGGTGTCGCTCAACGTCAATATTTTCGCTGCGTTTCGGGATCTACTGAATACCCAAGGGAGTACTGCTCAGGAACTGCTTCTGAGGCAGGCCGATGCGATTCTGGTTCAGGAGACGCATCTGACTGCTCGGGGGTGTGACGACGAGTCGGCTCGATTCAGAATGCTTGGATGGAACTGTTGCTTTACTTCAGCGATTGATTGCATTGCTGGGAAGCGCGGCAGTGGCAGCGGGGGTCTCCTGTGTTGTTGTTACCAGCAGCATGGAATGGGGCTCGTGGGCGGGGTCGGCAGCGCCATTGTGCCCGGCAAGCACTCGGGGAAAAGGTTCCCTGGGCCCCGTGTGCGCCAGGTCGAGAGCGTCCGCATATCCCTGTTCACAAACAACGTGAAATGGAGCTTCTGCAGGCGGAATGGCCCCGTTGGTGGAGGGTCGGGGAGTGGCACAAGTGCGCGAGCTGGCCCGCTGATGTGGGTGAGAGGCCATTTGGGCCCAGCGTTGAGCTGCTGCGTAAGGTTCTCATGACCCTCAAGAAGGCGTCAGGTGCAGGATTCGACTCCATTCGGCCACGGCAGCTGCTGGAACTGGGCGGTGATGCAATCGAGTGCTTCATAGGTCGGATCATGGCGGTGGAGTCCTCAGCCTGCTGGCCTGCGTTCTGCACGTAGATCGCTTTCTTGCAAAAGAGGCTCGGTGGAGTTCGCCCGATATGCTTTGATACACGTGCTGGCGCGACCTCAGGCGCGCATTCGGAGGCCTCTTGCTGTGTCTTGGGGGAAAGCGAACCACCGAGCGCATTCCTGGGCTTGTGCTGGGAGGTCTTGCGAGAGAGCGGTCTGGCAACAAGCGGCTAGGGCTGAGTGGGCTACTTGCAAGTCTCGGGGGGGGGGGCAGTTTGGTGATCGGCTCAGGTGCTCTTGGATCTTCTGATTGCCTTCGGGCAAGTACTACATCACTGGCTCCTGCAGACCGCTGCGGCCACTGGGTTCCCTCTGTGGCAACTTCGGTTCCAAGTGGAACTCTATAGGGCTCGCAGGTACCTTGCGTTCGGGTCTGCGGTGTCCGAGGGGGGCGGGGCCCAGCAAGCTATTCTTCCAGGGGGTGGGCGGGCGACTACGTTGCTCAAAGTTGCGCTCATTCTTCCCCTGGGCCAGGTGTACAGGTTGCACAGAACTGTTCTGCCAGTGGTTGTTGTGGATGGCATGTTACTTCAGCGCGTTGGAGGGCGTGAGCGGGTCGTTCGGACGGTTGCACAAGCAGCCAGCGAGTTGCAGACTGTTCTGGTCGAGTACAATTTGCGCATTCATGTTGATAAGACTCGCGTCCTTTCCAATGATCTCGATGCCAGGGTGGCGATGCCAGAAACGATTGCAAGAACTGGAGCCGTGGCTGTGCGACGCGGGCGTAATCTCGGAGTTGACTGCACGGCAGGCCGAAGGATAGATCGTCGAGTTCGGAAGGAGAATATCCAGCTGGCTCGAGGGGAGGTGCGTAGGACGAAGCGCTTTTGGACTGGGGCGCGGAAGGGGTATGCTGCAGCACGGGTAGCACGGTCAGGGAATGAGTCTAGCTGCGCATACGGCATGGCAGCGACGGGCTGCAACTGCGATGAGCTGGAGGCTGCGAGATCTCTGGCGCTAACGGCCATCGAGCCGAGAACTGCAGGCAAGAGCCGTACGTTGTCAGTTATGTGTCATGGGAAGATCGATCCGCAATATCGTGCGACTGCGCTGCCTGTGGTTGCCTTTGTCAGAGCGCTTCGGGAGTCTTGGGTGCCAACGCGTGGTCTCGAGTTTTCCAGAGCAGAGTCCTCGACTGTGGGGCTGTGAAGCTGTCTCTGGAGAGAGTGGGATGGTCTGTACTGAAACCTGTCAAGTGGTGTACGGATGAAGATGATGTGATTGATGCTCGTGAAGTGTGTCCGTGGTACATCACGTAGCTGCTTGAGGGCGGTCGTTGCGTGGCAGTGGCAGCATGTCTCGTATGACTGCTCGCTGGGGCATTTGGCCCACGGAGTTCTCTGGGGGCCACTTGCAGCGCTGGTGAACACTGGGCTGCACGTCGCACGAGTGTAAGAACTTGCCAGTGTCGACGCATGAGCAGAGAGGATATCTTCGCTCAGTCATTGTGAACGGGCAGTGGCCCATGGCGAGGAAGTTCGAGGCAGGGTGCACTGACCATAGCGATTGTTTGCTGTGTGAGTCGGAAGCACTCTGTTGCGTAGGCACTTTTGTTGCGAAGCGGCTGAGCGTGGGCCTGCGCCTGCAGAGTTTCGTGTGTTGACGGATCGAGCTGGCGAGCCTGTGGTCGAGACTTTACTCGAGAGATGCTTTTGGGCCAGTGCGCGTGCGCCTGCAGGTTGGAGGCCGCCTGCCGAGCAGCAGATTGCATGGTGCAGGCATGACGGCTTGGGGATAATCCAGACCGCTACTGCGTATCTTGATGGGTCGGTCTTCGAGGGGGACTGGGTGACTGGGTCGGTGGCGGGATGGGCAATTGTCACGGTGACGTCCGAGCCGTTTGTGCTTCAGGATGTGGTGACTTGTTTGTGTGCAGGTCCTGTGCGTGACATTGATGGCGCCGAGCTATCGGCCCTAGTCCAGCTTTTTCAAGTAGTGGTTCCGCCGATCGAGGCGGTGACAGTCAGCAATTTTGTTTTCGAGGGTGTCTATGAGAGGGGGCCAGAAATGACTATTGCGCATTGCAGTGCTTGGGCCTCCTTGTGGCGAAAGTTTTGGGCGCTCTTGGAAGACTTCGGGGGCCTCGGCGAAGCTGGCCTGGTGGTGCGAAAAATAAAAGCGCATCTGCTTTTCCAGGCCGTAGAGCCGGGGCTCGTGTCTAGACGCGACAGGTTTGGCAATCATCAGGCGGATATTTGGGCCAAGCAAGCAGCCTCGAGCGTGCGGATTATTCTGATGTGAGAAAGCTCCGTCACCAGTCTCTCGCACTCGTTGCGAGAGTCTCGCATTGGGTCGGCACCGTCTGGGCGTCGATTGATGGTTGTGACTGTGCTGTTGTTCGTCACTCGGCTCGTCCGATTCGGCCGCGCGTGTCGGCTGGCCTAGTTCGGCCCTTGGTGCGATCGATTCTCGAGCACGATTGGCATGGCCCCGACGGAAGCCGGTGCAGACGTTGCCGTGTTTCTGAGCCTGCGCAGAGAGAGCGCGTTGGCTCTATCGTGTCTCGTGCAGTGGAGGCCTCGTGGGAAGCTCGAGGCACAAGGGGACTCTCCACATAAGCTGGTGTCTCTCGATATTGCACCGCGTTTTTGGCAGCAGAAGAATCCCGCCGTGGCCTGTTTGGCGTGCGGGGCCCATTCTTCAAAGCAGTTGAAGAGCCTTCTTTCTCCTTGCAGAAAGCCTGGGGGGGCATGGGTTGCGTGCCCTCAGAAGGCTCGTGGCAGGTTTCCTACCTGAGGGGGGGGATCAGGTGGCGGCTATTACTACAGAGTGTTAGCCGGGGCCTTAGCTTTGGTGCGCTCGGATGAGCGTTCCGATGAATCGGGAATATAGGGAGGAGGAGGAGGAGGAGGAGGAGGAGGAGGAGGAGGAGGAGGAGGAGGAGGAGGAGGAGGAGGAGGAGGAGGAGGAGGAGGAGGAGGAGGAGGAGGAGGAGCGAGAGCGAGAGAGACGGACAGAGAGGCGCGGGAGCACGGGCGGCCTTGGCCCGCGGGGGCCTCCCAGACATCCGGCTGCTCCTATTTCTTCGATGCGAGGGCCCCGGAGGTCCAGACCACTTTCCCCCGAGATCCGACGCTCCAGAACAGTTGGATACAGTTGGAGCAGGCGGTTTTTGGCCGTTTTTGGCCTCGGGGGGCCCTGGCCTCGGGAGCGTCAAGAAACGATTCGGGACGCAGGACTGGCCCTGGAGAAGTGGTCCGTAGACCAGGGCCCACGCCCCCCAAAAATTGGAGCAGCTGGATGTCTGGCTGCTTATAGGGCCGGTTTTTCATGCTGAGTCGTTCCTTGACCGAGGCCTGGCGAGGGCCCCCGGAGGCCGAAAGCTGCCCTGCGCACCCCGCCGCTCCCACTTGTTCTGTTGGGAACGTCGGATCTCTGGGCCCTCCAGGCGCTGCTGTACGTGCACGCGCCCCTGGCGACCCAGAACGCGACGACGATCGAGGACCGCCGGCGCGCCATGGCCGCCGCGAGGCACCACGGGCCGGGCGGCCGCGGAGCCTGCATCGGGTATAGCCAGGGCCCCAGGTAAGGGGATCCAGTTACCCAGACCTCTTCGCGCTGTAAAAAAATCACGACGAGAGGTTTTTTTTGCTGCCTTCGCCCTCTGGAGGTCGCCACTGGGCCTCGGGGCCGTCAAGAAACGACTCGGGATGATAAACCGGTCCCGGGGAAAGGGTGCAGACCTCTGGGGGTCGACGCCACGACAAAATCACGGCCTCGGGGGTCTTGGCAGTGGTGGGGCCCTGGAGCCATGGAAGTGGCCACAGCCACTGCACCAGGTCTGCCGCAGCTGCTGTTTTTCGGGTGGCGGCAGCCCCAGTTCGTGGGAGCCGGGGCGGGGGGCCGGCGTCGCCCCAGAGCACACCACGAAACCAGGCTCCACGAGACCCGGTCCTGCCAACGCCCGACTCCAGGCCTCGAGAGCCAGCCAGAGGTCGTGGCCGCGGCAGCGGCCGCGGCAGCGGCGGCGCCGGCAGCAGCGGCTGAGGAGGAGGAAGAGGAGGAGGAGGAGGAGGAGGAGGAGGAGGAGGAGGAGGTGCGCCCGCCCCGCGCCTCGCCAGACCCCCTCGCGCTGCGCAGGGATCGCGACGGGAGGCGCCTCGCCCCGTTCGGACTCCCGGGGGCCCTGCCTTTTTTTTTTGGGGGGGGGAAGAGGTGAAGGAGGAGGAGAAGGAGGAGGAGGAGGAGGAGGAGGAGGAGGAGGAGGAGGAGGAGGAGGAGGAGGAGGAGGAGGGAGGGGAGGAGAAGGAGGAGGGAGGAGGAGGATAAAGAGGAGGTGGTGGAGGAGGAGGGAGGGGGGAAGGGGCACAGTTTGCCCCACCAGTGTCGCAGTTCGACTGAGCACCGCAGCCTGTTCGCGCCTCCCGTGCAGCCGCAGCCGCCGGGCACGGACGGCCTCCGAGCGTGGGAGCGGGTGCGGCAGAGGCCCTCGGGGCGCGCCGCCGAGCATTTCGGGTTTAGGGTTTAGGGCTTTTCGGACGCGCAGCGGCCGACAGTCTGGGCAAGGCTGCCCCCCCTTCGGCAGGCTTGATTGGGGGGGCGTTTAGCCGACCCGATCTAGCCTGCCGACGACGCAGGAGCTGCAACCACATCCAACCCCGGCCGCATGGCCGGCGACCTCCCAAAGTAAAGCCGTTTAGGGTTTAGGGCCGTTGGCCCCTAAATTCCCCAATGCGCTCCAAGCGCTCCCAGGCTCCCAGGCGCTCCACAGGCGCTCCCATCCCAGGCGCTCCCAGGCGCTCCCAGGCGCTCCCAGGCGTTCCCGGCGCGCTCACAGGCGCTCACAGGCGCTCCCAGGCGCTCCCAGGCGCTCCCAGGCGCTCCCAGACGCTCCCAGGCGCTCCCAGGCGCTCCCAAGTGCGCCCAGAGGCGCTTAGAGCGCCCCACACGTGTTTTTACGCGTCGGAGGAGCATGGGGGCAAATCCGAATACAAAAGTCGTCGGGTTTTGGGTTTCATATTCTTCGAGGATCAGGGGGAGTTGATCATAGAATCGCGACTCCCCGAAGGGGGGCAGCTTACGGCTGCATGGGCGACCCACTCAGGCAACCAGCTGAAGCATCTCAGAGATGCCCTGTCTCTCGTAGACGGCGACGGTGATGCGCGGTGGGTGGGCAGAAGCACACCGAGGTGCTTGGGAATTTAGGGTTTAGGGTTTAGGAACAAGCGTTGCTTCCCTGCGCTCGACCCGTTCTGCGGGTTCGGGGGGCCTTTCCTGGGCCACGGGGACACCCAGAAACGACCCAGGATGGAAAGCCTGTCCCGGAGAAAGGGCCCAGACTTCTGGGGGTCGGCGTTATGAGCACATCACGACGTCGGGGGCCTGGGCCTCTCGCCGAGGGCCGTCCGCGCAACTGCTTGGGAGGAGAAGCCGGTCCCCTGGGAGGGAGTCCAGACTTCTGGGGGTTGGGAGAATCACGAGGTCGGAATTTTGGGTCTCTCCCTGCCTCCTCCCCTGTCCCCTCTTCAAGATCGCACCATTGCAGCGAGTTTTAAGTCGGGCCTGTCCCCCTAGAGGAGGAATGTTCAAAATTAGTGAAAATAGCCGGGGGACGATTGTTTGAATATGTTCAAGCATGTTTTGAGCATTGCTTGGCTATTTTTTGTTCTTCGTCCAAAATCCGCCTGTAAGAGAACACGCCCTACCTAAAGCGAGTTCCCGTTTGCCATGATATCTGGAGGCTTCTGTGAAAGCCTCTTCCATATCAGGCCGCCCCAGGCCAGTGACCCCGCGTAGGATGAGCTGAAGTCGGCCCCAACGAGCGGACGCCCGTCCGCTCGCTCCTGCTCGTGCCATCAAAACCCTGCTCCCCCGTCCTCCTCCTTTTCCCCCTCCTCCTCCTCCTCCTCCTCCTCCTCCTCCTCGATGATGATGACGATGATGCAAAAACAGGTTGAGTCGGTTGAGTCCGAAAACCCCGCCCTAAATCAAGTCAGACAGTCCCTGTTATGGGACACGCAGTCCTGGCAAATGGGACGCGCAGTCCCTGCGATGGGACACGCATTCCTGGCAAATGGGACGCGCAGTCTCGATTATGGGACACACAGTCCTGGCAACTGGGACGCGCAGTCCCTGCTATGGAACACGCATTCCTGGCATCTGGGACGCGCAGTCTCGATTATGGGACACACAGTCCTGGCAAATGGGACGCGCAGTCCCTGTTATGGGACACGCAGTCCTGGCAATTGGGACGCGCAGTCCCTGCTATGGGGCACACATTCCTGGCAAATGGGACGCGCAGTCTCGATTATGGGACACACCGTCCTGGCAAATGGGGCACACATTCCCTGTTATGGGACACGCAGTCCTGGCAAATGGGACGCGCAGTCCCTGATATGGGACACACATCCCTGGCAAATGGGACGCGCAGTCTCGATTCTGGGACACACAGTCCTGGCACATGGGACGCACAGTCCCTGTTATGGGACACGCAGTCCTGGCAAATGGGACGCGCAGTCCCTGCGATGGGACACACATTCCTGGCATCTGGGACGCGCAGTCTCGATTGTGGGACACGCAGTCGTGGCAAATGGGACGCAACGTCCCTGTTATGGGACACGCAGCCCTGGCAAATGGGACGCGCAGCCCCTGCTATGGGACACACATTCCTGGCACGTGGGACGCGCAGTCTCGACTATGGGACGCACAGGCCTGGCAAATGGGACGCACAGTCCCTGTTATGGGACACGCAGCCCTGGCAATTGGGACGCGCAGTCCCTGCTATGGGACACACACTCCTGGCAAATAGGACGCGCGGTCTCGATTATGGGACACGCAGTCCTGGCAAATGGGACGCGCAGTCCCTATGATGGGACACGCAGTCCTGGCAAATGGGACGCGCAGTCCCTGCGATGGGACACACATTCCTGGCAAATGGGACGCGCAGTTCGATTATGGGACACACCGTCCTGGCAAATGGGACGCACAGTCTCTGTTATGGGGCACGCAGTCCCCGCGCATTGGAGGATGTCCCATGTAAATCGGAGGTGAGGGGGAGAGATCGAAGTGTTTGGTACGGAAGAGGAATATCTTGTCTGGTATTGCGTTATTTGGTCTCCTCCTCCTACTGCTCCTCTTCCTCATCCTATTTCTCCTCCTCGTGCTTTTGGCCCCGTGCCCCAGCCACGTCGTGGAGGAGTAGCCAGGTAGGTTCATGCTTTGACATGCTGTTAGTTCGCAGACCATCGTAGGCCGTAGCAGGCCTGGGGTCTCCGCAGTTGCACGCGGGGCATAGGTGGCAGTGTCAGGCATGGGGGTGGGGGGCTTACCAGCCACCGTGCAAAGGGCCCGCGTGTAGGCCATGGGCGGTCATAGGCCGCGCAGTGGAGGGCATTGGCGCGAGTGTTGCACAGCATATGCGTTGTAGTAGCCGCATCTTCACAAGTGTTGCATCCATGGGAGTACGGGGATTGGCACGGGGCAGCTAAGTGTGCTTCACAGTCGTGGGGTGGCCCTCCTGTGGGAAGAGGCCAGGCACTTGTAAACCATCCTGCTTCACAGCCGTGGGGGGACCTTACTCATGCATTCCAGGTTGCATCCCAGTTGAATTAGCATTGCATATCAAACCGTATGCACCACCCAGGGTAGCATGATTTAGGTTGCAGATAGTTCGGTGTTTTCTGGTGTTTGATTTGGAATTGGAATTGAACGAAGCGGTAAAACATTACCCGTGTCTTAAACGACAGCCGTGACAATCCTCCTCCTCCTCCTCCTCCTCCCTCCTCCCTCCTCCCTCCTTCACTCCTCCTCCTTCCTCCTCTTCCTGGCCTCCCTCGGCTGCTCCTCCTCCTCCTCCTCCTCCTCCTCCTCCTCCTCCTCCTCCTCCTCCCTCTTCAAAAACTCCGCCTCCTCTCCCCTCCCTCCTCCTCGGCGCTCCTCCTCCTCGTCGTCCTCTCTCGCTCCTCGCTCCTTCTCGTCCCTCCTCCTCCTCCTGCTTGATCCCTCCTCCTCCTTCCTCGCTCCTCCTCCTCCTCCTCCTCGCATGATGCCTTTCCTTAGAATTTATATTTGTTCCCTGTCGCACCCCGAGGCCAGTTTTGCAGGCGGGCCGGGCGTTTCGCCTTGAGACTTCCTCACGCTTTTATGGCTTGGACGTTAGGGAAAAAAGGTGGGTGAAACTTCACGTGTGGCAACAGTTTCGCAGATAGAGTGCGGGTGGTTTTCAATATGTGTCTCTCGCCCTAAGCCCGGCGCGCATTCGTTTACAAAATTATTCACTGCGTGGAGCTCCCCATATGTGCATCTACTCGCATGGACCTGTCCGCCGTGAATGTCTAGGCGCAAGAGCTTTCGAATATTAACGGGCTTCAGTTGTGACGGTCTGGACATCAATGTAACTGCGAATGAATTGGAGTGTGAATGAGCCTCAGTAGTACGAGCGCGTCTCTGTGCATGAGCCTGGGGCCTCCTGAAACCTACTGGGGCTTCCTGGGGTCTCCAGGA